ACTACAAAAATTTAAATCAAAAGTACAAACTTTTGATTTTAATTTCTTTTGCAATTCTAGATAATGTGTCTCCGTGTGTGGAATTCCCAGTAAAATGATAACCTACGATTTGCTTCCATCGTAAGCTTACACCTCCTAACATAAAGAACAAAACATAGGTAGCGACTTGATTTAAATTTGTTAAAATGTTGTTTCCCAAAAGTAATGAGGAACGTCGACAGTATTCTTTACCTGGATTGATTGCTGCTTCGCCTAAAAATAAACAATAATCTCTTTCCTAATCGTTAAAATTTTGAATTTTGATTGTTAAATAGGTAAAAATTTCATGTAAAATTCCTGGTAAAAACGGTATGTACTGAATTTTACGGCATAGGGTTCCACTTTGAAGGTAACGGAAAATTTATATTCAAAAGATATAGTTATGTCCTGATGTTCCACAGACAAATTTTTGTTTTAATGGCTTCTTCTATTGTTTTATTGTTTCAGCGTTTTGGTAGTTTACATTTCACACTTCAATTCTGAATTTGCTTTTCGTTGAGAATCCCTTTTATAGTTCTGTTTTATGCATCGTCCTTATTTTTGTAATTTATTACTTGCCCTTCGAAACTTGAAATTTTTGCTTTCAAAACATAAATTTCTTTTTCAGCACCCCGCGTTATTTTTTCTTGTAACTTTTTTTCATTTGCAGTTTTTTGATGAAGTTGTTTTTTCGAAAATAGTCGGCTGAACTTCATCAATAACATTTTTTTTTTGCCAAGAACCGGTCATTGTGACGTAAATTCAGCCACATTATAAATTGTTGGAATTGCGTTCTCACATATTTTGCATTCACTTGAAATATAAAATTCTCTTTTTTGAAGTGAACCTGTTGACCAAGGATTAGATGGAAAATACAATTTCGGACAACAACCTCGCAAATGTAAGCACTTTTGCCAATTTTTCAAGATGGATATTGCATCTCTCTTCTTTCCATTTGTTAAGTAATATCTTGTTTTCGGGGCCTTTAAACAATGAGAAACCATTTGCTTCTGTATTTCTACAGTTTCGTACACAACAGACGATGACTATTCTCTTCCACGTCTATGTACTAAATTACAAACTGTCAAAACATGACTCAAAAAAGGCATCCGTAGCCAGCATAGTAAAATAAAATTTACCATTAATTTTGACGTTTCGTGTCACAACTCTTTTCCAAAGTATATCTAGGGTCTCTAGATATAACCACTCATCAACGAATTGTAAAAACAAAATCTGTTGTCCACGTTGTGCAAATGAGCATGTAGTTGGTGACTGTTCTGCTGAAAATTTGAAATGTATAAACTGCATCAACTTTAAAACAAAAAATGGAGATCTCATTATCGACGAAAATCATGCAGCCTGGGACTATAATAACTGTCATACATACCAACAGACTGTAAACAAACTCAAACACGATTTGTTCACTTTTAATATTAACATCTATTATCAAAATGTCCGAGGCTTAAACACAAAATTAGCGGAACTTTATAACTCAATTTTAGACTCAAATTATAATATAATAGCGTTGACAGAAACATTTTTAAATGATACAGTTAGTAATTCAGAAATTTCTAATGATAACTATGTTATATATCGAGCAGATAGAAAGTTCACAACCGATTGCTCGAGAGGTGGAGGAGTGTTGCTCGCAGTTTCCAGTTCATTTCCTTCATGTCTTGTCACCACACAAGGTATAGACTTTAATTCAGTATCCACAATTGATGTTTTGGTAGTAAAAATCACAATTGATCATTCTATCTTTTACATAATTTTAATATATATCCCGCCTCATACAACTCCTAACGATGTAGATAATTTTTTCGAACTTCTCAGTTCTCTTTGCCTCAGTCTAGGTGGCAATATTCTAATTGTAGGTGATTTTAACATCCCAACCTACACAAATTATTTGAATAATTCTCAAGCTACCGATAGAAGCCTTAGTTAACTTTATGCAAATTTCAAACTTTGTTCGATACAATTAAATACTAAATTTTAATAATAGATTACTGGATTTAGTCCTGTCAGACCAGATACACAGTGACCTGGATAAGGCACATGATGTATTACTTAAAGAAGATTCACACCATCCCAGCTTAGAAATCACAATTCCTATTAAACAAAAGTCTTCTAATAATAAACAAAAATGTATAAGAAATTCTGAATTCAAAACATATAATTTCCGCAAGGCAGACTTTAGAATTCTATATAACGATTTATCCAAAATTAACTGGTCTTTTTTAGAAAACTGTCGGGATGTTGACATTGCATATGAGCAATTCTATACCAAACTGAATAGTATTCTCCAAGTTTCAGTACCTTTAACTAATCGATTTAAACAAAAGAAATTTCCTCCATGGTATAGTCATACAATTATTAGTAACATAAAAAAAAAGTTTAAGTTGTGGAAAAAGTATAAGCATCACAGAGATCAAAATGCTTACAATGAATTCAAAACCTTAAGACTTTAAATAAAAAATGAAATCTGTAAATCTCATAGAGACTATATACATAACATCGAAAATAAAATAAAAACTGATCCATCTCATTTCTGGTCGTTTATACAGAGTATAAGACAAGAGAACTATTTTCCAAAAATTATGACATATCAAAATACAGAGCTATTGGGTGCTAAACCTATTGTGAACACGTTGGCATCGTTCTTTCAGGAATCATATATTGAATCTGATTTTAATAATATGAAAACACAGTCAAAAATTATTACCCCTAATATTCTTAATACAAATCACTTTAGCGAAGATGAAGTTTATAAAGCATTACGTAAAATTAAAATTAAATTCACTTCAGGTCCGGATCGAATCCCCGCTTTTATTTTGCGTGATTGCGCAAGTATTTTTGCCCATCCTCTGTCTCTAATATTCAATTTATCACTTACGGTTTGTAAATACCCTACTCTCTGGAAAGACTCCATTATATGTCCAATTTTTAAGAAAAGTGACAGAAAGCATATTGAGAACTATCGACCAATTAATTTGCTTAGTAATTTTTCTAAAGTTTTTGAGATCTTGTTGCACACAGTCATTATGAACCATGTTAATTCCTATATTTCTCCACTTCAGCATGGTTTTGTCAAGGGCCGTTCTGTTGAAACTAACTTATGTATGTTCACACAATTCGTGACAGAAAATATTGACGCAGGAACCCAAGTGGACACTATTTACATAGATTTCTCGAAGGCGTTCGACAGACTGGACCACTATAAATTACTTGACAAATTAAGCTCTTTTGGTTTTTCTGACAACTTAATAATATTTTTTGCTACTTATCTAACGGGAAGAAAACAACGTGTTATGTGTAGTGATTATGAATCAGCAGAAATTAACGTTACGTCCGGCGTACCACAAGGATCTGTTCTTGGGCCTCTTATTCTTCAATCTTTTTGTAAATGATATTACAGATAATTTAACTTCACCGGCATTATTGTATGCGGACGACATGAAATTATTTAGAAAAATTAATAGCAGGGAAGATCAGTTAAAATTGCAAGCCGATCTACAGTTAGTTTGTGACAGAAGTAAACAATGTGGCCTCTCAATTAACTCTGCTAAATGTAATGTAGTTACTTTTTCACTAAAATCAAAAGTTTTAATTTTCGACTATGGTATTGATAATGTCCAGGTTTGCAGAAAAAATGTTATTAGAGATCTTGGAGTAACATTCGACGTTAAAATGACGTTTATTTACCACTATGAGCAAATAATGTCAAGTGCACTAAAAAATCTGGGGTTTATTATACGGAATTGTAGACAATGAAACAATCAAGCCTCTATATTTTTCATTTGTTCGATCAAAGTTAGAATTTGCAAGCATAATATGGTCGCCTGGCTATAACATCCATACGGTGGCTCTGGAAAAGATCCAGAGACGATTTCTGAAATTTTTGTTTTTCTTGAGCTTTGGTCATTATCCTAACAGAGGTTACCCTCATGAAACACTGCTTGATATGTTTAACGTAGAAAGTCAGGAGCAAAGGAGAGTTGCTTCATCACTAATATTTCTACACAAATTAGTTACTGGTTCGATTGACTGTAGTAGTTTATTGGCAGAACTCGACTTCCATGTGCCAAGATTACATATTAGAAATAATGATACCTTCTATTTCCCAACTGCGCGTATTAATTTACAAAAGTTCTCTCCTATTTTCACCATGTGTCGTAATTACAACTTATATCAAAATAATATAGATTTGTTTAACTGCAGCAATCGTGACATTAAGATGACCATATTAAGGCGAAATATCTAATTTTTGTGACAACTATACGTAGTGCAAATATTTCTGTCCCTGTAATTGAATTCGTCTGTAGGGGCAGTATACTAATAATAATATTAATAATATTAATAATAGCCATGACGATATACAACGCTCTAGGCCCGTGCCATTATTACACATCTTAGCAGGCGAAGGGGGTACACCGGCCTAAGAGTTTAATGGCTTTATAGTGATTCTACTCATATTCAGATGGCGATGAAGTTGGTAAGTCAGAAATGGCATAACACAATTTGTGTGTGTCTCAGCTAGTCTCTTAGGCCCGAATATTCTCTAGCCCCGTGGAACGTTTATGTGTTATCCTGACTGTGTTGAAAAATTTACCAGGATGTCTACTTGGACATTGACAACTCCACCATCATATTATAATTAACATTTATACAAAATATTGTAAACATGAAAGCTTGAATAAATCTATTTGATTTAAAATTCGGAAATTGATATGTTTTCATGTAATTAAACGAAAAATTGAGCAAGGTTGGTTGCATACTACATTCGCAATGATTTGCAACACTTACAACAGAACACAGCGGCTTTACAATTAAGCTTTCATCTTGAGAACAGCAATGCAAATCTTAAGTTTTATATTTTCGTTTATTTAGTCTCGAATTCAACGGTTTTGCAATTCTGCATTCCTGTTTGCAGAAAGCAATTACTTGCACGTTTGTGTTTACTCTCGAGTTAAAAATACGAGCTGTGAATTTAAGACATTTTTTATTATATTATAAAATTTAATACAATATTAACATGTAAAGTCAGTGTTTAAAATTACAAAAATATCAAAAATTATCACAACTTGTAAACAAAACAAAAAAAAAAACAAAAGAGACAGCTGATCCACTAGTTTCATCTTCGCTTAGTTCTCTGATACTGGATCCAGTTGTACACGTCTCGACCACTGCGATCAGAGAAGAGCTGGTTCGTTTCAACAAATTCTGCACACAGCTTCGGTGGTGCCAAATGACCCCTGGATATGTATTGCGAAAAATGTCTCTGCATTAAAGACATTTGCTCTGAGGTGAATGGTTTCTTTCCTCTTCTCTTTACAGGAGTTATTTGCAATTTCTGCTTTATCTCCGCGATTGTCGTTTTTCTTGGTGATTTCTGCGATTTTGGTGACTTCGTGTTCAAAGTTCCCCTGTGACTCGATATTTTTTTCTTTGGTGTTTCAATCCTCCGGTCTTCAGTACTGGCTCTCGCTATAAAAAATATCAGCAATGATATACAATTTTCTAGACTTTTCAGCATACGTACCCCCTACTTTTTCAGAAAGCGCTTCTTGTGTAGTATGTGTAACTTTGTCACACTTTCGACGATCCGAAGGCACTTCAGTAATATTGTCTGTAGTATAACATTCTATCACACCTGATTGTGAGACTTGAGTGTCTGTTGATACCTCCTGCATGAGGTTCGTTTCCATTCTGTTGATTGTACTTTCTGTTGAACAGGTAGTTTCAAACGAATCCAAACTGAGATTGTCTCCTAATAATTCTTCAGAGGTAATATGATCGTCTAACGCCGGATCCTCTTCAGGTACTGGTAAATCTTGTGCAATAGTGAGTATTTCGTCGAGACTTTTACCTCTGTATGAAAAGAGTTCTTCTCCATCTACGATAGTCAAAAATTTTGCCCACCCTGTTAGTTGAAATAAAAGTTCGTCTTGTCGATATACTTGTTCATGGACTTTCTGACTATGACCCATCAATTTTGCAATCTGACCGATTTCATTGTCATTCATTGTTAACAATTGGGAAAGGGTTGCGACTTGTTTTCTTAAATAAGTGGAACGTAAAAGATGCGGTTCTTCAGCACCACATTTCTCTGAGTAATCTCTTAAAACAACTGAAGCATCGATAAACATCGCTCTCGTAGGTATACCAAAAAGGTAATTGTTTGAATAGGGAACACCAGCTTCTTTTCGATATTGGAGAAACATATCTAGATACCTACAACACAATCAAAAATCTTTTAAAAAGTAGAAAAATCAAAGTACTCATTTACCTGCATTGATTTTCGTCCAACAGCACATGTAATATATGTAGACGCTTTCCAATCAAAGTCATAACTTTGTATTTATTCGCTAACTCCCGTTGATACATTGGAAGGGATTGAAGTATTTCATCATCAAGTTCGATTTTTTTGTTATACAATTCCAACGACATACTTGCAACTTCACTGACTCTACGTCTATTGTACACAATAACTCTTGCCAACGCAGCCTTTCCTAATTTTAGCCATGTGTCGAAATCGAAACCGTCCTGTAACCGTTGATACGCCTGCTCCGCTTCAGAAACTATCAATGTGGAAAATAATTTAACGTCCTTTGCCTTTGGTAAATTATGTAATTTGGCTGCTTTTCTTTGCAAGCTGGTTCGACCAGCTGACCTGCCAACATAGATTCCATAGTTTTTATCATGGAGTTTTGAAATTGTCGAAACGGCCACGCTCTTCACATTGTGTGGGAAGATTATGAGTTAAATAATCAACGTTAAGTGCGTCTAAAAGAAATGTAATACTCGATCGTAAAGCTTTTGCCAGACTTGGCTTTCCAAACTCGCCTGTTTCCTTGTCAAGTGAACACAAATTGAAAACTCCCTCTAGTAAGGCATCATAACCTCCATAGAGTATCAGATCTTCAAAATCCAGAATGGAGGGGTTTATGTCTTTAACATCTAAAATCAATCGTGCCATTCTACGCAAATGTTGGCGATCGTTCTTTAATGCGCTGTATGAACCTCGATGCATTAAGGAATATCTTTCAGCAACAAGTTTCAAACATTTATCTTCTAATATCTCGTGTAGAATTAGCCCAACTTGAACAGGCTCTAAGAAAGCGAGAAAAAGTTTCTGACTGAAAGAATTCGCTGTAAATTCCTTCTGGATAATCTTAAAGCGAGCTTCTTTAAGCACATTTCTTCTATTTGGTGGCCGTCCAGTACATTTGCGTTCATGTCGAGCAAAGTTTCTGGTCATTATTTCACCAAAACAATTTGGGCAAGTAATTAAATTGGAGGCTTGTCCTGTCACTACTCTCCTTATAGCAATTTTTTCCTCACAGGTGGCATTTTTGTTAAAATTATAATCACCCTTTCGCCTGATCTCTCGTAACGCAGCATTCCGTTCCACACTATTAGCTTTCATAGTCATAATATTTTTCACTTCTTCCTGATCTTTGTGTTTTCGAAGAATATGTATGTGAAGACATTTCAACAAAAAACTGTTCACAGAAATAACAACAATGGCGTTTTCCTTTGGTTTTTGACGTTAATGGGTTTACTAGGGCAGAAGAACCACAATCCATAATTAACGGTGTTATGAACTTACGTTCCTCTTCAATCGGCAGTTCCTCCCCTATTAATTTTCCGACGGGGAGACAGTAACGAACTTTCACTTGGATTTCACGTTCGCCAAAATTTCTAGACAGCAGCACAAGTGTTCTGTTTTTGTCGGAAAGTTTATTACCTACAACAAAAATTAAACTTCGATTTGCATTTTTTTGTTACTATACATACATTTATGGTCTGTCGCGGGCAAACCAGAATACAAAAATCCGCTGATGGTATTGTCATCTCCACTGCAAGCATCACAAACGTAATGCCCTTCATGTAAAACGGTGTGTATCTTCATTGAAACGAAACATTTCTTTATATAAATGGTCAAATGAGCGGAAATCCTGCAGTTTGATTCTTCAACAGGCGAAACCAATGGCGTAAACATCAAGTCAAAGTCTTCATTGCGGTTCGAGGTAGTGGGCATTGAAGAACTACTTGAACTTTGTCCTTCTATAAATATTTGAAAAATTATTAGAACATTATAAACGACTAATATTAGGTATAACGTAAGTTGTAAAAATCTCTACAGATGAGAGTAACTTACTTTTCAAATGGCATTGCATACATTATTTATTGGGTTGTTCCAGAGAATTATACAGGGTTAGTATAAAGTCCCGAAACGTTTGAATAACTTTGTTATTTGAAAAGTTTTTTTTTCTGAAATTTGCTTTGGATGTATAATTAAACATGGCAACTTTAATGGAACACCCAGATGTTGTTTCACTAGAAATAAACAAGTTGATAATTTCTGAAATTAGTTTTTTATTCTGCATCAGAAAATGCCAAAAAAACCTGTATGTTGTAATCAATGCAATCAATGTTGTAGGTATATATCCAAAAAAAATTTCAGCAAAAAACTTTTCAAATAAAGTTATTCGCCCGTTCCGGGACTTTATACTAACCCTGTATATTAAAATATACTACATTTAGGTATCAGGCATAGCTAGAAAAAATTTTTCTAGTTATTTAAAAAAAAAAGTTTTGGTATGCCAAAAGTCTTATTTGCAACTTACATAACACCCGATTGGTGGTTTGGAGTTTAACATTTGAGTTAAGAAAAGATTTTTCAGATGGACGAATAAAAATATGTGATGGATGTGTGTAAGTTGTTTGTTTTCAAAAATGTGTAATATTGGTTTATGTTTATGCACGAAAGTATATTGGAAATAGCATATGTATAATGTATAGGTAATTAGTGTTACATGTGTTATGTAAGTTACGTTTATTATGTTAAGTTAGGTACTAATCATTTTTATAGCATCTTTGGAAATGTTAGCAAGAAAGCTAACGAAAAAAAATTGACATTTTAATAAAATTGATCAGAATCCGAGAAAATAGAAACCTGAGTTTAAGACAAGAGTAAAAAAATCTAAGTCGGCCATTAAAAAGACGTTTTGGATTTTTTTTACAAAAAGCCTGAATATTTCGTAATTATAATTACTTAATGAAATACCTACCTCCTTCAAACAATCTTTTCTTGCAAGTCTGTAACTGAGACTTCGTGTGCTCAGATGTTTCGCCATTTTCATCGCTTTCTTCTGACACTTCAGAAGTTGGCTCATATTCTTCGTCGGTAGCATTACTTTGGAAAGGTTCTTCGTCGCTGTCACTTATCTCGTATCGGCTGCAGGGTACGTATTCAAAAACGATCTCTTCTATTGGTCGCACCAAATCAACTTGCCAACATTCTGTGTCCTCTAAATGTTGTTTTGCCAATTTCAAAACATTCAGATCTATAGAAGAAGATTGACATGAAATAGATTGATTATAAAGAGTAGAAATGAGTTACCTGAACTACTCATTATAACATTGTCCAGCATCCTTTTTTTGAGTGTTTTATGCCATATTTGAAAGATTTTAGGAGTTCCCTCTGAATATGTCAGGTGATGGGTAAGACGTTTTTTTTTTCTGAAAAATAAGTGATGAACTCGTTAAGACCATAACACAAACACTGGTTCTAAAATTTCTTGGGCGAAACGAAAAAGAAAAAATGCGAAAACATGACAATTTTTTGCTTTGAGCCAGATACACCTTGCCACATATTGGTGTATCGAACTTTTGAAATATCGTGTTTTAATTTTTTTGTTTTGAAGCAAGAAAACAAAATTCCCGTTTTGTTTCTATTTTGAAACCGGAAAACGGGTTTTTCCTGCTTGTTAAGTATTTTTGTTTGAAGCGAATAATTACATAATTATAAGTACCAAATGAAGTTCCAAGATTCCACTACTGATCACAAGCTAAATTTCTAACAATTTTCTACGAAAGCAAAAAGCGAAACTACTTACCAATGCAATCTTTTGACTTCAGTCATTGAAGCGCACAAGGGATCAGGGCAGAAATATAAAACTGTGTCGTCCTCTTCTAAGACCACCACTCTGGCATGAGATAAGCATTGTTCACAAATAACATGCCCGCATGTGACTAAGTAGAAAGACTTACTGGGCAACAATGGCAATCTACAGGAGTGGCATACAATTTTTCCTAATAAAAAAAAGTGAAAAATAAAATGTCAAACACATTTTGTCATAACATACTCATGAGGGGCAACGGATAGTTTTCTTGAGGCTTACAGACTACACATGTTTTTCTTATACAAGTTTCTGTTCTTGTGAGCTCCCTTGTACACATATGATTCTGGATATCTGCTTTATAACTATTTGTTATAACATAGGCTAGCCGACGCAGTTCGATATTAATATTTTGTGAAAAAGGCATCTCCTCACTTTCAACCTGCTCTATTTCCTGCGGAGTTAAATTATGTACCATGATGCACTTTAAACTGCCCAAACATTGGATCTTGTTACATATAATAAATTCATGGCGGTATTTGCACTGAACCCTTCTACATCTCTTCATTAAGAACTCTCTGCAGGGAGTGGGTGTTAAAATTCTAAAAACGAGATCATATAGCACATAAAATTTCAGCGGATCGAACCGATGAGCTACTGAAGCTGATCGATTAAATTGGAGTCAAAGACGAAAAATTAAAAAAAAAAGTACCAATAAAAGAAAGTGGACAACTTCCCTCCTCTATTTGGCCTCTGCATACAGGGCATTGAGGCATATCACGTGCAATCAATTCTCTTAAACAACCTCCGCAAGTACTATGCATACAAGGGTTCAAAATGCACCAAGAGGTCATGCTTATTTCGGAGAAACAGACTGGACAAATAAACTTATCATTTTCTTGTTCCTCTATTGTCCTATGAGTAAATTTGCATTTGCTTCCGTATTTACAGTTGCCGAATTGTTTAAATTCTTGACAAATGCCCGAAATTTGTAATGTTCTCAACGTCTCGTACCTCATGGTGTCGCTTTGATATAGCGTTTCTCTGTACTGGATTTCATCTTTTGAGGACACATGAAGGTATCGACAGTACTCTCTATGACATCTCTCCATTTGAAAGTCCCGACAGAACTTATAGGGATGCTTTAAATTGCACATCGGATCTTTACATTCCCCCTTCGAGAATTTCGTACAATAACTACGACAAAAATAAATACTGAAACTTTGACTTGAAGTGTTGCACTTTAATCAAAATATAATCTAGTGTTGAAAAATTGTGACTTCAAAGAGATTAATTAAAAACTGTTTTCAGGGAACAATTTGAATATACACCGTTTTTTTCGGAGTTGCGTATTTTTTACTTTTATACAGGATGGCAGGTTTGAATTGCCAAACGTTAACGCAAGCTGTATCACTTCAAATCAAGCAAGAAATCATCCTTAAGAAGTTGGGGTCGCAAATGTGCTGTTATCGACCTTGCCAATTTTGCCGTTAGTACTCTTTCTGACCCTGCGTTAATAGATCCTCAAAAGCGTATTTTAATTCGGATTGGAGCAAACTATGGCCCCAACTTCTTAATAATTGTTGGTTTGTTTTGACGTGATAATGCAGCTTGTGTTATCGTTTGACACTTTGTATAACATAAAATTGTAAGTGAATTATTTTAAAATGAAATCAAAACATGCATGTTGAACTTACTATTTCTAAATTTCACGTAAACAATAGGTTACTGTACTTTTTATCTTCTGTTAATGGGAAGAATATATCCAATAATTACAAAATTAAAAAAATGCTGATATGTACTTATCATTTTTGTTATTTTTTTGTTCTATATCGCTGCTTTTCTAAATGTGCATGTCCAGAGTTTCCCTCACTTTCAGAGTATTCTAATTTTTTTATTATTACCTATTCGTAGTTTTTTCAAAATACTTTGTAATGAGATATTACAAATTTCGCAGGGCGAGTCATTTACCGCGCGTTCCTTGATGTTTCATCAATTATTAGAAATGATAATTTATTTTTGAAATTCCGATGCCACGTTGGCACGCTATTCCAATTTTCTTCAATTTTTTTGGGAATGAAAGTATTCACAAATAAAATCGCAGCAGGGTTATTTTTTAAATTTGTGTAACAAGATTTTGTGGAAAGACGCGCTTTGTTGTGGTATAAATAAAATTAAATCTTCATGTACATAATGTTTATCAAAAAAATAAGTATTACAATTTTCAAATAACGATATTCCAATTTTTTCAAATACAACATCATGTATTTTATTATCGCATCTCATTCTATTTTTTGTTTTCTTCCCCATTTGTTAAGTATTTTCTATATTTAAAGTTGAGAGTTCCTATGTTTTTTTTTTACTTTTTTAAGAGACATTGACATATTGAAAAAATGAGCACAAAATTAGAATAAGATATCGTAATAAAACACTGTGTGCTAATGGAAAAATATAAATATCCATATTTGTAAATTGTATTAAACTATCAGAACTTTTTTAAACAATGAGTATTTTAAAATTTGATTTAATTGGTACGACAACAAAGTGCCAAATATTGTAACACACAATTTGCGATTTTTTTGATAACTCTTTCATTGTCGAAAGAATTAAAAAAAAAGGAATAACGTGGCAACCTCGCAATCGATTTTAAATGATAAATTATGCTTATAAAAACCAGGAAATGGCTAGTAAATGTAGAAATATATGGGCGTTTCATTAAAAAAAAAAAAAACAAGCAGTGTCCCAACCCTAATAAACTGAAGATTCTGAGTTAAATAAAAATAATTTTAGCATACAGCCCTCAAAGTATCGTAAATTTTGGTGCTTGACTTTTTTTCTAACAATTTATGAGTTATCGATGACCGCGTGTTTTGTGACTCACCCTGTATAATGATATGAAATTTTTGCGATAAAATTCAGGTCTGTTAGAAGAAGAAAGAAAGCAAGCCAATACAACTAGATTTTAATAACTACCCAAGCTCTAATCTACTCCCACTACTAGCACTATTAACATATACTCTTTTCTACTGTGTTGTTAAATAACTGCGTAACACATTAGACAAATTTGTTGATTAATTGAAGCCAATGGACTTAAAATATATTCAAATTGATAGCAGGGCGTTCCGATTTTATTGTTCTGTTGTATAACTGACGCGAAGTAGTTTTTATCATTTGCGAAAGTTGCAGACTCGATATTGTCCCTAGACCAGGGTTGGCCTGACTTTTTGATTTAAATCGTAATTTAAACCAAGTATTTTTTTTTAATCATTGATTTAAATCATTCTTGATTTTTTAAATTTTCTTTTTGAATTACGAGCATATAATGCATGTTACAGTCTTTTAAATGCAATTTAATTCAATAAGGGTACTACCTGAGTGCCGCCGCAATTTACGTAGATTTTTCCGGGACACCACGAAGGCGAAAGATCCGTTACAATTTACAAGTACAATCCAATTCTCCTAACTTTGGCAGTGTCGTAAATTAATAGCAAAAAACAAGCATCTGGCATGTTTACGTTTACGTCTACAATGGATGCAGACCCTTTCAAGCTTTCAATAAAAGAAACTGACAATGGTTTTACGACACTTTCCCAAAATTAATAGAATTAGACTCTTGGAACGTAAAGTATTTATTTCGTCAGCTGCAGTTTACATTTGCCGATAGAGGCACGATTCAAACTAGGCAGAGTCGCATTTGTGAATGTATGAAAATACCTAGAAAATGAAAATTACAACAACTACTAAAATATAGCTTTTAAAAACTGAATAAAAATAATTAAAAGTTAAAATTTAGTTACATAACTTTTAATTTTTGTCTCACTACTTTTGAAGTTTGAATTACTGTGGGTAACCGAAAAACTAAAAAAATCAAAGAAAAATTAAAAACATTAAAAAAAACAAAAAAAATGTAATTTAAAAACTAATCATTGATTTTTGATTTTTTTTTTAATCCGATTTTTTCCAACCCTGACATAGACATATATGTATTTATAAAAATTTAGCAAACTAGCATTAGCATTTTTATTGTTTTACTCTTAGAAAGCCATTTTTGTGAAAAATTTTGTTTTTGTCGTAGAAGCTTATCGATTGAAATCAAACTGTATCACTACAAGAGCAGCATAAAAATGCAAGTACTAAAAACAATCTACAACATTTTTCAACTTTCGTATTCCTTATGGGCAGCATATGTTTTTAAACTTTAACAAAAGCAATAGTAAGTTAAAAATTTGAAAAAGAAAAAAATACCAGGCTACGGCAAAAACGTTGAAACAAGATCAATTTAATAACACTAACAGAAAGATCGCTAAGAAATAAATATCTGAATTTTTATGATAACGGAACTTTAATGTTGTTTTAGATGTAATTTTTTTCAAGTCTGAGGTCATTGATAAATGAGCTTTTTTTCTTGATTACCAATATGGATCAACCACATAATTTAACAGTATTTCTAACTGAATTCAAAAAGATGGCACACTGAAATACATTTACTTTTAAATATGAAAGTATTCTCTATTCAGGCCCTTATTTTACGCCACCCGACTCTACGACTACTTTTGCGTTAAAATTAAGTTTTTGATTTTTTTTATAATTACTTTGTGTGGTTAATGGCGGTCGTCATTCAACAAATACATCGGACTAATGATACACAACTAAAATGTATAAAAATCTAAGTGAAAAAATGACCACCAAACCACTGTGGCCGGAACACCCCTAGCGTTATCTGCACAACACGTTTTGTTCAACAATTTAAGCCAAAGTATAGAATCACCAGAAATTATTGTTATTGAAGTGCGTAATAAAAAAAATTATTCACCTACCTTTCTCTAGAACGACCTAGGCCAGAACTTCCTGCTTCCGAGTCACACATATTGTGATAAAATTCACTTTTTTTACGTAACAACGATGGCAGAATAAACAACGATGGCAGAATAAACAACGATGGCAGAATAAACAACGATGGCAGAATAAACAACGATGGCAGAATAAACAACGATGGCACAATAAACAACAATAGCGTGATAACAACAACAGCGGCTACATTCGACTCTTCGTTACAACTACAAATTGGAGACTGACGGGACGCGGTGGTAGGCTGGTAGGTTGGCGGCAAGTGCAGTAGACAGTATTGCACAATGTTATTACACTTGCTACAGATTTCCAAGGTCAACGAGACAACGCTGGATGCATCAGATGCAGATGCGTCGTTCCCTAATTTGATTTAAATGTTTGCAGTAAAATAACGATGAGTAACATTTTCATGCTGGCATATAACGCAGACAAATAAACTTTAAAATTATTCAATACGCTACGATACTGCTATCAATGGTTACCTATTTATCAGTAAAAAATTAGAAATTTGTCATTCTCGTTAATATTTTGAGCCTCAATAAAGTGGCAACAGCGCTGAAAATTTCAATTCAAGTCAATTTTTAATTAAAAAAGCGATATTCTGTTTAACATTAAAATAACAGAGACGTTAATCTCTTACTATCTTATTTGTAAATATGCAAATTAAGTTTCGCATTGCTGTTCGCAATATGAATGGAAAATTGCAACACCGTTTTGGTAATACCAAACGAGAATTCTAATAATATAACCTATAAATTTTTGACTTTATTTCTGCTTTCCGGACTAAGAGACTTCTCTTAGCGGTGTTACGGGGATAAGCACGTTATGATACGATTTCACCTTTGATGCCTAAATAATTATTACTTAACAAGATATTCCGCTTCCTTTTAGGGATGAATATTAAATTTTGATTTGGAACTTTTGAAAGTCAAGTTCTTACTGAAAATTCTATTTTTATGAATCATTACAAAAAAATTGTTACAAAACAACGAAAGCGGCTTCATAAATTTACGTATCTATTCTAGAAATTGGTATATTCAGAAAAATGCAGTTTGTTGAGTTAACTATTAAAATTTTGGTAGTGACGGAACGCGTCCTATGAAAAAAAATGCTTCTTTAATTTCAAAACGTGTATTTAACTCGAGAGTAAATAAACGTAAAGATAAATATGCAACTTAAGTTTAGCATAGCTGTTCGCTTCATGAATGCAAAATTGCAACACCCTTTTGGCAATACAAACAGAAATGCTAATAACATAACTTCAAAATTTTTGGCCCAATTTACGTTTTCGATCCAAATAGCCGTCTCTTATCGTATGAGGATCGCGGAAATAAAGCACCTTAAGCAAATTTATAGACGTTTACGAATAAATGATTATTTAATCACACATTCCGTTTTTACATTCTGACTGTTAGACAGATTTTGAAAACTCTGAATATAGCTGCTAATATAAGTTAGTATAAATTTTGGACGCTGTGACTTACAAACGATGAACGCCGTACTTTATACATTCTGATTTATAACCAACGCGCGGAGTTGTGTTTCATACGCTCGATCCAGTGCTGTCGCGGCGATAGTTTGATTACAAATATATTTTTCTTTTGGACTACATCAACATAATATAACATTTTGGAGACCACAAATGTGTGGTCCTGTGTTTGAAAAATTAAAAATTGCATCGAGTATTTTTATTTGAAGTAATATAGTAATCAGTGTTGGGGACAGATACTTTTAAAAGTATCTAGATACAGATACAGATATATGGAAGATAAAAGTATCTAGATACAGATTGTTTTCGACTTTTTCGAAATGTATCTAGATACAAGATACAAGAAAACAGATACTTTTTGAAACTTTGGCGAATAAAATAACTGAAAAC